ACAATAAACGGGCTTTTGATTTGTCTTTTCGGTAATGTCCGAGCTTAAGCAATTCATGACAGTTCGTCCACGCTATTTTTCATAAAAGGAAAATTTCCAACTTCGTTCAGAGAATTGCTTAGCAGATGTGGAAAGCAGCTATGAAATTGGCGTTGAGGCGCCTATTTGTAATGTTTTTATTTAGAAAATCACGGTTACTAAGTATCCTTCCCTTCTAGGATAAATTGCTAAAAATAACTTTTGTGCCTACTGGAATGACATTCATATTGAGATATCGATCAGTAAATTACTTCCACAAAGTTTTCAGCTCGCTTTCTTTAAGTGCACAATGCTATAGCTGAACCAACGTTCATTCCATAATTCTGCGAAGTTTAGGAAGCTACAAAGTATGATACGCGCAACACACCTCACAGCATAGAGGTCGTTTATTCACATAAATTTTTATTCACAAACACAACAATGCTTACTGCCAGTTATTTTACAAAATTAGTAGTAAAGGAATAGATAGGGCTAGGAAATCAAACTTTTATTCATAAATACAGTAATGTATGGCTTATTGTATTAGTGGATTTCGCGAACATGAGATGTGGATGAGCCTAAGGGCAGAAAAAGATAGTTGATGATTATGCTATTACATCAGGACCACATCCCCTTGAGATCGTTATAGTAGCGAGTAGTTGCAGTGACCTGTTTCTCAATCACTTTCATAGCTTTCTTTGGCCTTCTGAAGAGGTGGTCGAGCTTTTGACTACGAATTGTTAATGCGAGTCCAAAAAATACCCGCTGATACGCACCCAACTAAAAATCACAATATTACCATTGAAAATGAACGACAACCAGTTAGCTTACCAGATCATATGCATGACTCAGGTGTGTAGTGTCAAAGCCAAGAGGAATATCAGTAAAAAATATTGAATACGACCACAGCAGTATATAGGTGATCTAAAATTTGATTAATTCTAATAATTTATCGCAAAACTGTTTCCAATCCTTGTACTTTTAAGTAGAAAGGTAAAAATAATACTAGTACAATTCTTAACCTTAACAATTACATCGTTGAGCGCAACAGGAATAAGATAACGACCACCGCGGATATTTTCATCAAGTTGATAGCGATTTGTTAGTTCCATCATGGTGTTGTGTCTTTTCCGATAGGCAGATAAATTGAACAATACTATAATTGCAAGAGCCTAAAATTTACATTCAATGAAGTTGACTCATGAAGAAATTTCTTAGAGCCACTACAGCCATTCTAATATACATCATCTTAACTTTATTTATTTGTGGTACAGCATCATTAACAGAAAGTAATTTCGTACACTCAGACTAGTGGACACTCAGGCAATGTAAACAATCAAGATTAGATTCTTTTGTGAAGATGAAAGAAAGAAGCGAGGGGAAGTTTCTGTTAATGGACACTAGTTACAAATTAAAGCCTTTAACAGAT